CTCTGTCGCTGCTCCCAGACTTTGGAACTCCCTCCTACTGGAGGCCAGCCTGGCCCCCTCTTTGCTCTCCTTCCGCCAGCAGGCCAAGATCTTTTCTCTTCAGGCAGATTTTTCCTTCAGGCAGGTTTTCCTTTAGCAACTGGCTGCCTGAGGGATTTTTAAATGGATGGTTCTTCTTTTTACTGCTTTTTCTTTTGTTTACTATTTTTTACTGTAATATTTGTTTTATCCTTTTTAGTATTTGTATACCCTCTGTTTTTCTTTTCTTTTTTTTGGTTGAAATGCTGTCTTTTGATGCGGCAAGCCGCCTTGGGTCCTTTTTAAGGAGAAAGGTGGGATGAAAACATTTTGAATAAATAATCGTTATGCAAGAAAACCCGCTGGGCATACGGAGAGGGGCCCCCTTCCTAGCAGACAATGTCCTTGAAGGACCCTCCGTAACCTGATTGAGTAACAATAGAAAAGAAAAAAGCAATCTGCCTTTCTCAAGACTGCACCCGGAGTTTCCCTGATAGCTGTTTTGATCTCACGGCCCAGCCTTGCCTGCAGTTGTGACTCAGAGGCACTTTGATTTCCACTCCGCCCGCGGGTTCGAACCTGCTCCTCTCTATATTTTTACATGCCGAGGGTGAAATCTGATCCTGAATCTCAGCTAGAACAGTTACGGGGTGTTATGGGGCAATCAAGCTGCTTCTGAGTTATGGTGCTTCTGGGTGACCTCCAGAAGGTCTTCTCGTTCTTGCCACCTCAGGGCTGTGGCTCCCTTTATAGAGAAAAAAACATCTCCGAGAGAAGTGGTGCTTTGCGTGTTTGCAGCCAGGATGGTATCTTGGCATCTCTTCAACCCCGCTCCCAAATGTCTAGATGCTGCTTCCTTCAAAACAAGGGGCTTCTGCCTAAAGACACAAGCCTTCACTTGACTTGTGTCTCAAGTGAAGACTTGTGTCTTCACCAATGGTTGGAAGCTCAACCTGGAAAGAAGGAGGAATTTCCTGACGGTGAGAACCATTAAGCCGTGGAACAGCTTGCCACCTGATGTTGTGGGGGTCCCATCGCTGGAGGTTTGCAAGAAAAGATTGGACAGCTATCTGTCCGAGATGGGATGAGATCTCCTGTCTTGGGCAGGGGGGGTTGGGCTAGAAGACCTCCAAGGTCCCTTCCAACCCTACAACAATTCTATGGAGTTGTGAAATCGGACTGCTGTCATGTATTTCACAACTTGACTTGAACAAAGTGAGGGGCTTTCTAATCTCATAATGTGAACACATCAGCTCATCCGCCACTGTTGTTTTTCTGTATCCCTTCCTTAAGGTGCAGAGCGTAAATGGGTTTTCCAACAGGACTTTAAGACTGAACTGGCAATTTCCAGCTCCAGCCACAACAGACGCTTTTGAGAGCAGAAACCACTGCTTTAACACTTCACACAGTAACTGACTTAAGTCGCCTAGGCCGAGCATTTCCAGGATGTTCATGCTAACCAGCCGTAGGAATGTTGGAGACCTGCATTCATTAATAAAAATGCTGTTTTGGGAGGCATCGCATCTCATTCTGTCTCATCCCCACAACCAGATCCAGGATGTATCTTTATCTGTGGTTTGGACACTGGACGTTTTGCACCCGAGGGCCAAATAAAAGGCGTTTGCCTTAAAGATGCAGCTGGACTTTTTTACTGCAACGGGCTAACACAGCTTATCTCCTCAGAAACACCTCCAGTTATAACTCTGGTCAGCAAACGGTGCCTCAGTCATCTAGTAAAAAAAAAATGGTGTCATTGGGTTGATTCTGAGTGACAGGAGCCCTCCTAGGTTATTCAAGGTGAGCGGTTCCCAACTTTTTTTTGAGAAAAAGTGACACCCTTTTATAATAGCCAAGTAACCTATGACTCCTCTGTGGGCAACTGTAGCCCGCTAGATTTTTTTAAAGATTTTGGACTGAAATTCCCAGAATTCTCTTCATTGCTTATGTTGGCTGGGGCAGATAGGATTTGTAGTCCAAAAATATCTTGAGGGCCACAATTGTTCCCTTTAGGAGCCTGCCTGGGTGTTAAGGTCTTCAGGAGACCCCTTTCTCTCAGTTCCATCATCTTCACAGGTACATCTGGCGGGGACACAGGGCAGGGCGTTCTCTATGACTGCTCCCAGACTTTGGAACTCCCTGCCACTGGAGGCCAGGCTGGCCCTATCTTTTTGTCCTTTTGCAAGCAGGCCAAGACCTTTCTCTTCAGGCAGGCTTCCCCTGAATGATGGCTGCCTGTAGGGGGGGGGTCTTTAAATGTAGTGTTGCACCTTACTGCTTTAAATGTGTCTTTGATGTTTACTGTTTTTAAAGTGGCATTAGTTTGATTTTTTAAAAATATTTGTATATATCCCGTTTTTAGCTTTTTAATATTGGCTTTTAACGATGTAAGCCTCCTTGAGTCCTTTTTCAGGAGAAAGGTGGGATAAGATTTAAAATAAAATTACCATTTTAAAAGACTAAGAACAACACGTTACTTTATTTGAAAGACATTCAGACGTAACGTAAGCTAGCCGAATAAAACATGTGTGTTAAAAGAGAGGTGGCGTAAGCCAGCCAAATAAAACTTGTATATTAAAAAGAGAAACGACTACTGTCCCAGGCCACAGGCCAGCTGAGATTCTTTGAAGCAGGTATATAAGTAATTGAAACCATCCTCTCCTCCATTTCTCTTCTGCACGGATCCGAGAACCGCTTGCTCTCCATGACGCATATCTGGCCTATCGAAAAACGCCTCGCTCCGCTCAGAGTTTCTGTGGCAGCTCTAAGAGAAGAATGCCCCAATACCGAAAAAGCAATAACCATGGTTTACAAGTCTAGAGGAACATTTCACGTCGCCCATTTCCTCCTGAAGCTAATTTTCTTAGACGGTGATGTTTATATGGACCATTGCCCGTGTGGGGATTCCATCATCCCTTTTATGTCTTTTTACTCGTGTGCGTTTTCTCATGTTCACGAAGGCTTGGTTCGTTCGGAAACCTCTTCTTACATCGGGAGCATCTGAGCGCTCCGTCCTTTTTACAATCCCGCCGATGTAAAGTAAGCTGGGTGGCGTTGACTTTGAGTTCTCCGCAGTCTAAACATGGAAAGAGATGTTGGCCAGTGTGGTTCGTTTGAGAAGTTTCCAATATTTGCCTGAGGGTGCTCTCTGCCCAGTCCTCCGAAACGTTGGTTGAAGGTTCGTTCGCTCCCACGAACCTGCTACCGGCAGAGGTGGCTTCTTCGTCCTTCTGCGACCCGGAGAAACGGGAAGGGGTTCCCCCTTGAGGAAGGGACCCACTTGGTGTGAGCATGCTTGGGGCACTTGCCGTGGATCCTTGTGGGTAGGAATTGGACGTCTGTGCTGGCAGAAGTGGAGTCGGGATGTAGGGTTGGAAATTAGGAACAGGGAGCATGAGTGGGGGGTGTGAAAAGGTGGGGTGTGGCAACGAATAGGGCACCCAAATGGGGAGATATGGAAGAGAGTAAGAGGGATCTCCCAAGACCTGGCCCCTGTTGGCCTGCTGCCCAGGAACAGCTTTTTGGGAGTCAGGAAGCACCCAGGGGGAAAAGACGTGCCCCCTCCCTAGCGTAAAAGTCTTGTCTTTTGTATGGGATTTTTGATGGTCTATAAAGAGCGAGAAGGAATAGAAGCACTCTCCACACTCGGAGCAGGTGTATAGTTCATTCCGTGCATGGGTTCTCTGCCATCGTGCAGCATCTCCTGCGTGGGACCGCTGATGTTCTGTGAAGGACAGGAAAGAGCTGAAGGGCTTCCAACACTCCAGGCATGTATACCCTTGGTCCTCTGTATTGCTCCTCTCTGATGAGAGATCTAGTTTGCCCCCTGTGTAGGTTTCCTGATATTTCGCAAGGTGTCCTGTATGGGATCGCTGGTGTTCTGTCAAGGACAGGAGAGAACTGAAGGATTTTCCACATTCAGCGCATATATGTCTTAGGTCCTCGGTATTCACTCTCTCTGAAGCATTGTCTGGTTCTCCCCCTGCGTAGGATCCCCGATGCTTTGTAAGGTATCCTGTATGGGAGCTTTGATGTTCTGTAAAGGTTAATGAAGAGTGGAAGGACTTCCCACACTCTGGACATATATGGGATTGGACCTCTGTGTGGATTCTCTCCTGGCCTGTGGAGGTTGTGTCCTGGTGAAATCGCTTTTTAGAAACGGGTTTCTTCTCTGTGCCAATGCGTTCTCGCTTCCTCGATCCATCTTGTTTTTCACTGTTCTCTCTCCCTTTTTCACATACGGCTTGTTCCAAGGATACACGGGGCTCTTCTTCATACCCGTTCTCCTGCACAGCAGTTGCTGGAACAAGGAAACAAGACTAAGTGCGCACAGAAAACAAATATCTGAATGACTAATCTGAAAAGAGTATGAGCAGATGTCAGTTTCCTCCTCGTAGAAATTTATTTATATGCTTCTTTCATAAATTTAGATACCCTTGACTTTGTGCAAAGCGCTCCTCTAAGCAATGTACAAACAGACTGAAAAACAATAAGCAGAAATCCTCCACCCACACAAACCGTAAATGTCAATAAATTGACATAAGCCATAAATTAAAATCCCAGATGGCAGGGAAAAAAACCAATGGAGGATATAACTGAACAACTCTTGAAAGAAGTTTTGTCTTCATTGCTCTTTTGGAAAATGGTAGAAATGGGCCTTGACAGACTTTTATCAGGAGCTTATTCCAAAGGGAAGGGGCCACGACCAAGGAGGCACCGTGTCTGGTGAACATATTGTTTGCCTCTCTCCATGTGCCAACCTGAAGAACTGAAGCCCGTGAAGAACGGGTGATATGGGGCGATGTTCTTCGGGAAAGACACTTTGACAAAAAATGGAAGAAATATTAATTTACTGAGGGTTAGCTTAGATCTTCAATTGTGTCAACTATCTTTTATACAAAGGTCACCGGTATAACAGCAGGAAGGGCAAAATGAGGGCTGTACAATGGTGGAACTACAAATCCTATTACCCTTGTTGGCTATCATGTCTGGTGGCTGATAGGAATTGCCATCCAAAATCCTCTGGAGAACCACAAGTTGGTCACCCTGCCTGATAAACATATATGCTCTCTAATACGGAACGTTTCTAGCATTCTGGCAAAACAAGATTGTACGGCAGAGAAGAAATTTTCCTTTCAAATACATTTTCAAAACTCTGTATGTCCCTCATATGTTTATTAAGGTCTTGTTTTTGTAGGGATGTAAATCGTCCCCTGTCTCTGCCTTGGATGTGATTACATTTACAGAAAATGTGGGAAATGCTACAGGAGTGGGATGGGTGGATTCACGTTTTCCCCTCCCTTATGACATTAAAGCCAATATGAACAAACCTGGATTCTCCCCATCCCAAACCATAGTATTTCCCTCCACTGCTGGATATTCTACTTTTGTTAAAACATCAGATTCGTTTGCACTGGTTCAAGCGGTGTGATTGCTTGAACTGATACAGAAAACTGTAATTCTTCAGTCTCCATGGTTTCCCTCTGGGCAGAATATGCCATTTTAAAACCTTTTCCTTCTTTTTTGAGAACAGCTTGGTGCCAGCTCTCTTGTGCTAGGGCACCTAGTCGGGAAAAGAAAAAAAGAAGAAGTAGGGAACAAGAAAAGAAAATGGGACAATGAAATTGCCCCTCTATCCTTGTTTACAGCTTATTAAGTACTTCTTTTGAAGCTTCACCTCCTACAGGGCTATAGGCAAGTTATATCAACAAGCTGCAAACAAGGCTGTTCAGACAATTTCCTCCTCTCCTTGTGTAGCCAGTTAACTTGAACAAACCTGGGGAATCCCAAATTCCCCAGTGCAATCTCACAGAGAGTGAACTCACATTTCTCTCACTGTGTAGTCTCACCCTCGGCTGAGTTGTTTACAGCTTTTATCAGTTAGCCAATCCTTTTGTGCTTGTTTTCTCTCTGTTTTTTTCCAAAAAGGAAAACAGTAGCTCTGCGCAGAGACATTTTGTGCATATTGTAAGAATGTAAGCAACAACAACAAAAAGCACATCTTCTCTTTTGCAGGATTCATCCATTGATCACTAATACTTTAGTCTGCTTAGAGAGTCTGTCTTGTTGAGAATGAGTTATTTCTCTCTCTGAAGCTTCTCTCATCCTCAGTACAAATGTCCTGCTTCTTAATACTTTTCTGGATTGTGATTTCACTGGAGACTTTGCACCTACCTCTTCTGGAGTGAATAGATAAATCCAGTACATGGAATTCTTCTTCTTCAGGTTCAGTTCTCCACTGAGGGTCGAGGTTGTGCTCAAAGTTTCGCGCATACCTAATGTAAGAATCTCGTTTCTGACTTGCATTCATTGCTTGGACTGCCCTCGCATCGTCTGTAGCCACCTCCTCCTTGTTAGCTGGAGAAATCAAGAGAACCCCAAACAATTTGTTCCTCAGATGAAAGAAATGCAGAAGATGGAAAGCAGACAAAAAAAAACAATAGTGCACTTAAAGCGCGCTCTCAGTGGTTGATAATTTAATGATGCAGGCTACCTACAGCTCTCCCCCCCCCCCCTCGCATCATCTGTAGCCACCTCCTCCTTGTTAGCTGGAGAAATCAGAGAATCCCAAACAATGTATTCCTCATGAAATTCAATTCATGAGCAGAGTCTTAACTGCAGGACTGCAATTTAACCACCGCACCATGAGATTCCTTAACAACTTATCTTGTCCATTGCTTTGGAGGCCTCAATGAGCAGAAAAGTCATAATCAAAATAGTTTCAGTCTGTACTAAAAAGTATATATTCTATCTTACACACAATGAGACCCCTCCCCCCACACCTCACCTTCCTCCATGGCTCCTGGAGAATGTTGCCACGGTGTAATGTCCGATGTGACTTGATCTTTGTTAGAGGAACGCACAGTGTTTGCTTTGTCTGCCTCCTGCAACCGTGAAGGAGAAAGCTTTCAGGATAAAGTAAGAATGCTCAGAAGAAGGATTTCAGACAGATCAGGACCAAAAAGTCCCATTGCCTGAGGCGTTAGCCATTGAGGGACGGGCCTCACCAGGTCCACATGACGGGTTTCCTCTCTCCGTAGCGATCCTCTCTCTGAGGGGGTTGGATTCTGGTCCTCCATGAGTTTACTCACACAGTTGGCATCATGTTACCAAACAACGTACAAGTAAAATCTAGAAGAGATCTAGGATAGAGAGGGTGTCATGTGAAAATCAAAGCAAGAGAGGTAGAACCATAGAATCATAGAATAATTAGGTTGGAAGAGGCCTATAAGGCCATCAAATCCAACACTTGGCCCAATGCAAGAGTCCAAATCAAAGTAGATCTGACAATGTGTCCAATTTTCTCCTGAGTGCCTCCAGCACTGGAACACTCTCCACCTCCTGATGCAATTGGTTCCATTAGTCATGCCCCGCTTTATGATTACCCCGCATTATGACGAATCTGCTTCACAATGATGTTTTTGTGATCGCTTTTGCAATCACAAAACGATGGTCTAAATAGGGTTTTTTCACTTTGCGATGATTGGTTCCCTGCTTCGGGAACCAATTCTTCGCAAAACAATGTTTTTTTAACAGCTGATCGGCGGTTTCAAAATGGCCACTGGGTAATTAAAATGGCTCCCTGCTGTGTTTAGGGACGGATTCCTCGCTATACAGGCACCGAAAATGGCTGTCGTATGGAGGATCGTCGCTGGACGGTGAGTTTTTAGCCCATTGGAACACATTGAACGGTTTTCAATGCGTTTCAATGGGCTTTTAATTTCCGCTTTACGATGTTTTTGCTTAACTGTGATTTTCCTGGAACGGATTGTCGCCATTAAGCAAGGCACCACTGTACTGTACTACTCTAACAATAATCTTTCCAGATATTCAGCCTAAGTCTGGCTTCCTGTCACTTGAGCTCATCATTACGTGTCCTGCACTCTGGATGGTGGAGAACAGATCCTACCCCTCCTCTGTAGGAAATACCTTTCAGTTATTTGAAAAGTACTATCCTATCTCCCCTCAGTCTTCTTTTCTCAAGGCTCAAACATGCCACATTTTTTTCAGTCTTTCCGCCTAGGGCTTGGTTTCCAGTCCCCTGATCTTCCTTGTTGCTCTCCTCTGAACAGTGCTTTGAATCTGCTAGGACTGAACTCAGGTCCTGAGCAGACACCGAGACCGGGTCTGCCTTCAATTATGGCATCCACCCTCTGTTCTTGAAAAAAATAAAGGATAGATGTAAATGTACACAGAAACGGAGCCCATGGATCAAAACATAGTGTTGCCGAAGTTGTCGCTAAAAGCATCTGTAAAGCACCAGCCTGGTGTTCTCTGCTTGTGGTTTCTCCAGATGTTTGGGTCTTCTCCCCCTGAGTCCAACAAGTCCCGGCCAGCATTGGCCAAGAGGTAAGGGCTCTGCTGCAAAACCTCTGGAACCCCAAACCTCTGGATGTCCCGGGGCCGAACTAAAACACGGATGAAGATCATTCCAGGGTAGTGCGAGCCTCGAGAACTTTAAACAGCTATGGCTCCCTTAACGCTCCATCAAAAGTTAACCCTGGTTTTTATATCATCATGATCTGCCGTCAAGTCAGTTCTGACTTACAGTGACCCTTTTCATGGTTTTCCGGCTATAGAATAATCAGGAGTGGTTTTCCCCTTCTTTTCTTCTGGGGCTGAGTTGCCTTGGGACTGTGCAGCTTGCCCAAGGCTACCCAGGCTGGCTTTACTTCCACCGCAGAGGAACGGAATTCCCAACCGCAGACTCTGCAGTCAGATATCTAAAACTACCAAGCTATCCAGCAAGCTCACGTTGTTTTAGATACTTAACAAAAATGAGGGCTTCTGCAGCTACTTAGGTTTTTAAATACAATCTGTCAGTTAATGATATGGTTTCGAATGAAATAATTAAACCAGCAGAAGTTGGGATAAGACTGAAACAGCAATACAGATGGGGGGGGATCCTCTGTTTTTGTATAAAGCTGTTTTTGTATTGACCATATAGGCGGGATATAAATGGAACAAACAAACAAACAAATACATAAATGGATATGTCGTAAATTGAATACTAAATTTCTTCCTATTCAAATCCATCTTGCCCAGTGTTTGGAAGTAACTGGGTAGAAGTAACAAGATCCTTAAATTATTACTCCACGGAATTGAATTAACTGCTGACTTTAACATTCAGCCATTGATTAAATGGGTCTACTTCAGCTGAACTATTCAGGAGGCAAAAATGTTGAAACTGAGCCTGCCCCGCTTTGGGCACCTCCTAAGAAAGCTGAATTCTCTAGAAAAGACAATCATGCTGGAAAAAGTTGAAGGCAGCAGGAAGAGAGGCAGACCCAACACAAGATGGACTGACTCGTGAAAGGAAGCCACAGGTTTGAGTTTACAAGAGCCAAACAAGGCTAGGGAGCACAGGACATTTTGGAGGTGGCTCATTCATGGGGTCACCATATGTTGGGAACCAGTCAATGGCACGTAACAACAACTCCATGTTGGGAGTAGCAATACAGTGCTAAGCACTGTAATGAGGGATAACTTCATACCATTTACAATTTTAAATGCGGTTGTTTCGATAACTTTTGATAGTTACAGGGTGTTGGGCGGCCTCACTGCTTAGGTGTGTTTGTTACTCCAGGTGAGCAGTTTGTAGCACTCTGCTGTGTATTGGATCAGTAGGGATTTGGTGAAATCCTGTGGCTTAGCTCACCAAATCCCTACTGATCCAATAGGCCTACTCTGGTTGCAACTTATTATAGTAAGCAAACAAGATGTGTTTGTTTCCTTTAAATGGTGAGGAAGGCTAGAATTACTCTTTTTTTTTAAACATTGCAAGGGTAACTGCGGCTTTAGCTCTAATGACTAGGAGATGCCAAAGGCAGTAGGAAAAGAGGAAGAATGAGCATGAGAGGGACTGATCCACGAAAGAACCCACAGCCATCTGTTTGCAAGACCTGGGAAGGCTGTTATTGCTTAGGGCCCCTTTTGGACGTCAATAGATGTCCTTGGGTTTATAACTACAGCCAATTACTTTCTAAAAGTAACTTTCCAAGCTCTGGGCCGGCCTGATGAAGGAAGGATGCCAGCAGCTCTTACTGGTTCATGAAGCGTTGCTTTCTGGTTTTGGAGGTTCAGCTGGGAGACCACACACATTTGCATAACAAAAAAGCGCCCTTCTAAACCTTACTAGAGAAATATTATTTCAACTTCTGTCTTTTCGCTTCTCTTACCATTTTACTCCTTCCTGGAGGAAAGACAATGCTGTTGTCTCAAGCAACGGACAATTCCTTTGCCATTCAAAATACTCAACAAATGATGCAGTTTATGGCCTCCCGAAGAACGAGTCCACTCCAAACCCCTCCTGTCATGAAACAGCCCAGGGCAGGTCTTGCAAACTGAAAGCCATGGCTTCTTTTATCAAGCCGATCCATCTCATGTTCTGTCTTCTTCTTTTCCTACTGCTTTTGACTTTCCCCAGCATGGTTTCGCAACCAATCTTGTCGTGTTTCACAACCAATCTTGACTTCCTACATTGCACCCAAATTACAATGGCCACAGTTCAAAGTTTTGATTCAAACCCAGCCAGCGTGGCCAGTAAATTTTCCATGGGATGACTTAAGACATTCGGGTGTGGGTTAGTATACACCCTCATGCCTGATGTTAGGACCGGCCTCCCGGCCTTCCATCTAAGATTGCTCCCTGCCTCCGTTTTCTTTGACATGAGGGCAGCAACCCCCCCTCCTGAATGGGCTGTCTAGTCAAAACTCACTTAGAGTGATCCTATAAATAGGACTTTTCAAGACAAACGAGATATTTAAGGAGCAATTTTCCCCCACACTCCCCTCCTGCAGGGAGCTTCTACGGACAAGTCGGAATTTGAATCCGGGTCTTGTGGCACCATACTTGGGATCGTGCTCCCTGGTGGCCCGCCTTTCCCCAGGGTCATCTGCCCGTCCCACCAGAGTTTCGCTGACCCAGCTCCTCCAGGCCTTCTCGGTAGTGGCTCCAATAGTGTGGAATGAGTTCTGATGCAGCTGGGTTTCTCCCCCCCCCACTATCGTTTAAAAGACAACTTAAAAGGTTGCTCTTCCAGCAGGGTTTTCCGTTTAATTTCGATTTTTCGCTCCCTGTCCTGCCGTCATATTTTAGAGAGAATTCCCCCTTGGTGCCGCTTGGTGCTGCTTATGTTACTCATCTTTGATTTTTTTTTTTGCATAATCCTCACGGAGCGTGGTTAGGTTGGGCCTGTTGCCCCGTAAACCACCCAGAATCGTGCTTCGCACTCATGGGGCAGCCTATCAATCAATCAATCAATCGATCAATCAATCAATGAATGAATGAATGAAATAAATAATCAAATAAATAATCAAATAATCAAATAATCAAATAATCAAATAATCAAATAAATAAATAAATAAATAAATAAATAAATAAAGAAAGAAAGAAAGAAAGAAAGTACACCACCCTGTTCTCTATGTCCCTTAAAAGCCCAGGATGGAGGAAAGGTGGAAGAAGCATCAAAGCATCATCCCCTCCAGGTGAGGAAAAAGCTGAGGGTCAATCAATCAACTTACAGAGAGAGAGAGACACAGGAATCGCAGGAGAAACGAGGGGGGAAAA